CACATTTCTCCCAGCTTTGCTTCCAAGACTACTTTTGCTTTGCTGGTAGATTTTTTGTCACATAATGACGTCGGATATGGTGCTCTTTCAAAACGGCGACACGTTCGCCGCATATGACACAACTGGTTTTCCGGTCCGCAGTTTCCACAAAAATTATTTTACCCCCATTCTTTGTTGAAAGCGCTACACTAGGTGTGCAATTTCCTCTTCTTCGTGGACATAAGTGGCTTCCGTACACGTAACTTGGTCCAAACGAGGCTTATTCATATTTCTCTTGAATTACTGGCAAGGACAGCCGAAGACACCGCGGTGTGCTCTTGTCATCGAGACGACTGCGTGGGTCACGTGAGACTGGCACGCAAGCAGGTGAGTGGGGTCAAGGGGACGTTCAAGTTGGAAAAGTACAATTCAAGTGCCAACCGATAATACATTACGGATGCATTTTTCAACGATGCAAGAACTTGCTACACTAATTGTCATTTCCATTGCACAGCCTGTTTTCACCCCCACGCACCGTTTAGGATTAGATAAATGAACTGCATAAGTTGTTTCACCTTAAAGCATGACCGCAATAAGCATGTTCCTCCGGTATTAAGCAGATTCGTATCGTTTATTTTGGTGGGCTCTTCGATTTTCGGGATGAAACTGTAAACCGCTACTGTGGAAGGCGGGAAAAGAAACCGTTTGGAGCTGGCAATCATACACTATAGTATTCAAGTGTTTGGGTGGACTGAGTCTTGGTGCCCCTCCAGCGTTAGGTGAACCGTTTGGCTCGCAGAGGTCAATGGCCTAGTGCTAAGGATATTAGTCGTTTTGCATACCTGCCTGGTTCCGCTGTTATCTATGGCTGTTCCTGGAATGTTCAAACTAGGACGAAACCGGCCTTGGAGTGCAGCGTCTGGAGCAAGGAACACCAGAAATATCTTCATCTTGGTAGTTGTTTTCGTTCGGGTCACCCACCGTGTGCTCCCTATATGAACCTTAAGGATAAGCGCGAGAGACTATCTATGTAACAATGAGCGGTGCCTGAGATCTCGGTAATTTGAAAAAAATGCAAACCGAGAAATACAATGCAACACTCAACCTTCAGATACCTTAAGGACGTTTGGATCCTTTACGGTATTCCTCATTATATCTTTCCAGTTCCTATCGACCACCTGGAATAAACGGCCCTCCTCTGGCATTTGCTGCATGATATCTTCAGAGCCGAATATCGGTTCCAGATACAACCACTGTGCTTGCATTTTGAGCCACTCATCGATCGTCTCTTGAATATAAAGCAGTCGCTCTTCCCATTGCTGAAGTATCAAAAACAAAACAGGGTTGTAATTCTTTTAACCCGTTACTATACATAAGTAGACAATAGCACAAAACACACTACAAATAGTGGATAATTCGCGTTATACAAGTTCGCGAAGCTTCTGTGCATTGTTTTCTGACCACTTGTACTGGCCAGGAAGCAATCCTTGATGTGGGAATAAAACATCTTGACTTTAACTAGTGGACTGGTAAAGCAAGAAAAAACTAGCGGCTTTGTCAACAAATACGCGAAACGTCAGATATAGGGAAACTAACGCAGTGCAGTACGTCACCATCATGAAAGACACCCCGAAGTCCACACCACATTTTTGGCCTTCACGTATAACATAGTGGAAAATGTAGCGTATAAAGTTTAATTATTACTGCAGACACTAACTTTTATTTCGACTTCAAACGGTTTTATGAATGGAGATCCCCTCATTGTTTGCGTCTTCACGATTTGATCGTCCAACATCTGCTGTATATCATCAATGGATGCCAGTATAGAAACTCCGGTTTCACGATAGGCAGTCAATCCGAATGCCACTTCATTCCAGTCATCACGCATCCTTTTCATATTTGTTTCAAGTGTGAATTCTTTGCTTGCTCCTGCTGAAATGCTCGCGAACTCTTCCATGTATTGATCCAGGTTTAACTGAAGCATCTTGGCTAAGGAGGTACCGCTGTCTGGAGTCAGGTCTTGCCCTGCAATCAGCGACATCTGCTCCCAGTGGCGCTTACGGATTCCAGGATTGCACAGTACACCGATAGTTGGAATTATCTCCTGCAAGATAAGCAACAGATTGGGCCGTATGTGAGCGATACGATGAAGCATACTTTGAAGGGGAACTAATGAGTTATGTAATATGGATACCACTACTATAGACATTACACAAGCCCTGCTTTTGGCACGGTTGCCTATTACATTGGAGACCAGGTAACAAGCAAGTGACTTGGATATGCATGTATCTTATTCCCATTCTGCTTGCTGTGGTCGCCGCTGACTGTTCATCCCCACGATCACAAGAAGAATACGAGGATGAGCCAGGACCGTTGTATTTATTAGAACACTGCTTCCTCATATAAATTACAATAGTTCATGAAAAAAAATTAGTGAATCCCGTTGGAGTCAACCAACCTAACGGGAAACAACGAATGTTACTAGCGAATGAGAAGTGGCATAAAAAAGAACCATTCAGGGCGCGTTCTAGGAAACGGCATTATCAGAAACAGACGCTTGAGACAGAATCCATTATGAACGACGTAGGTCAGCTAGTCAGAGCAAAGGAATGATACGTTTAAGCAATTGTCAAGAAATGAATGATGGTGAAACGAAAGCAGGCGACTAAGAACTGTAGCAAAAAATAGATGCTCAGTGAGCATCCCCTAACACATCCCTCTTCTACCGTGAAGTATACCAGCTCTTAGGCAGAGCTTGCAAATCTGATTTGTTGTCATTGCTGGGGATCTCAAGGCATGAGTCGGTGGTCTATTGTCATGCGATGAGAGCCACTCAGGTACTGGGGAGAGACTTCGCACAGTGTGCGAAGACAATCGTTTATTTCTATGCAGCACCAGCCTTCGGCATTCGAGGAGACGTTCCGTTACTTGGCGACCCCCTTCTGCTTCCCAATCTTGGTCTCAGATTGATCATATCGCAAAGAATTTTAAATGGCGTGGTAGTTTAAAAGATCACAGATCAATCTTGCCCATCATTCTTGTCTCAGACCATGCACTTGTTTGTGCGAATAGCTGCATTAGTTTCAGAGGGTCCCCCAAAAGATAGAACAGTGGCATACTACGGGCAAAAAAGCGGATGCCTAGCAAGTCCCATAGGATGGCCAAAAACAGAACCACAACATGGTGAATAGAAAACCGAGGGATAAAATGAAAATTTTTTGGTGGACTCACTACAGTGTTAACACAGAGACACACAGAAAGAGCCAACCACAATTGTGTAGGTTAATTCTGGTTGTGCAACGTTCGTCACATTATATCGTCTGTCGAGACGCACAAGCTAAATCACATAGTGTACATGGGTTAGGGCAACATCAAGTTTTTTTAAACACAGGTAAACTGGGGCGGAAACAACGTAATTTGGGAGGGCGTTCCAAGACTGATACATAGGAAGAGAGTAAAACTTCTGTCGACATTCTAGCCGACTGTGTTGCGTGACTAACTTGAACTGGTGGCCCCTCAAATTCGTGTTGTGGCTCAGTTGTAGTAGGTGACGGCAGACGTGGTTGGGGTTCTTTAGAATCTGGTAGACCATAATAAGGTCGCCAAGTAGGCGCCGATACCAGCTACCGTATAATTTTAGGGTCCTCAGTCCAAGTTGATAAGGAAGATTGAACAACCCTTTTACCTACTTCTTGGCTCGTCGCTGTGGAGTATCGAGCGCTGCTAGGTTTTGTTTGTACCAAGGCTACCACTGCTGGATCGCGTATTCTGCATGAGGCCGCACGTAGGTGATAAGTAACTTCGAAAAGACAGAGGGGTCAAACCGCCCGAATGCCCTCCGCAGCATCTCAACATGTTGGTTCCCGGTCTTTGACGCCTTCTCAAATTGTGATGAGCAGCCTCGATCAGTCTGAACTAGTACCCCAAGATCGCGCTTCTGGGTGACTGTTTGCAGGACATGATCTCCAAGCTTATATGTGATGTTCGGCTGTTAGCGCATGTGAACCACCTGACTCTTCCCCGAATTGAACCAGAGCAGATTATGGAGTGACCGCCCTTAAGCTCTGTACAGGTCTCGCTGAACTACATTGTGATCTGCAGGGTCGGCGATCGTCCGCCACATCTTAACAACCTCAGCGAACAGCAAGAAATCTGAAGCACTCAAACGCGTAAGCTCGTTACTGAACATCAGAAACAGACGTGCCCCCAGAACTGATCCTCGTGGAACTCCACGTTCGCCATAAATCGGAACGGACAGTGCACTTGGAACTCAGACCTGCAGCTGACGATCCTGCAGGAAATTCCTGATCCACCTAAGGACTGAATCACCAACTCCATAGCTTACGAGTATGTAAAACAGAATGCGGTGTTCAAATCGGTCGAAGGCTTTGGAGAACTCGAGGTAAATGACGTCTGTCCCTCTGCATGTATCGGTAGCTTCCGTCCAACTAATGCGTGCAATCAGTAGGTTGGTAGTGCAAGAAAGGGGCTGACGGAATCCGTGTTGCTCGGGTGCTATGAGGTTGTGGCATTCTAGATGGTCTTCTAAAGCCCCAGTGATGATTGTCTCCGTCACCTTTGTGAGCACAGGAAGCAGGACCACTGGGCGACAGTTGGAGGGTTCCAAGCGATTACCACTTTTGAAAATTGGAGTGATTACACCTTGTTGGCACATGGTAGACACAATTTGTTTATCCAAGCACGTTTGGAAGAAATGCGATAATAGCCGGGCTAGCGTTGTTGCTGCTACCTTCAGCGCCCTTGGGTGTATATAATCGATTCCGAGAGAGCTGAAGGTGCGTAGTGAGAGCAGTTTCTTCAACACAGCTGTGACAGTAAAACTGATGTTAGTGAGTGCTGTAAATGCGGATGGGGATTTGGGTATGTAACACTGGCGGACGTTAGTTTGGAAGGTTGGGGCATACTGCCATCGTAGGGCGTTGGCTGCCTCTTCGGCCCTCTGTGCCACTCAGACTGGCATGTTAATTGGGTGATACCGAGCTTCACTTTCCGGATGGTGTTAACATGCTTGTATAGGTGCTTTTTGTTGTTGGCAAATTTACAGGTCAAATGTTGTTGGTGAGTCAATTTGTCCTCATGGACAAGCATGTTACAGTGGTTGCGTCCGGTCACGTAATCGCTCTAGGTTTCAGAATAATGACGAGCTCGGTAAGTGTGCCAAGCTGCATTCCTTATTGGCATACGCTTGCGAGTTCTACTACCGATGAAAGCCGAAGGATTGGTGGAGCGAAGCCTCTTTGTCTCTGAACCAGTTGCGATTAGATTGCTGAAGCGTCCAACAAATTGATTCCAGGCGCTGTCAGGTGAGCAACCTTTCAAGAACTCCTAATCAGTCATCTCAACTAGGCTGTTTAAGATGCTATAATGTGTGATAGTACGTGTTAGTTCTGTGTGTTCCTTAGGATATTCAGCGTAACACACATAGTTATAAAGTACGGTGACATGATCGGTTAACCTCACTAGGGCGTCTATAAATAGCCTGTCGATCATGAGTTCCTCAGTTGTAAGGACGAGATCAAGTACCGATGGTGGGTTATCAGCTCTTTACCTGGTAGATAAGCTGATATGATTGTAGAGCGGGATACCTGCGATAAGGCCTTGCAGTTCGGCTTTGTATGCTTCGCTGGGGATGCAGAGTTTTCAAATTCGTGCACGTTGAAATCGCCGGAAATAAGAACGTGGCTGTAAGTTGGGAGTAATCATTTCGTCATTGAGGATATTAGGTGGGAATCCAATTTCAATTCTATAGCCAAGTGGGAATCCATCTCTGGAAAGGAAGATAGGGAGCGATACACGACTGTCACGAAGCAGTTATCACTGTGTCTGAGGCGCAAACGGCACCACAGCGATTCGATGACCCGTGTCTCCGGATCATCCAGTGGTTCGCATTGTAAGTCGCTACGATAGTATAGAATAGCGCCACCTCCCCTGCTGGGACGATCGTGTCGGAAGAGGGACATTCCCTGAATCGCAATCTCGGCATCCGCAATCCATGAGTGCAGTCAAGTCCCGGTTATGGAGATGAGATCCCAAGTGGTTGTTGCCTGGAGCAACCGAAGTCCGGTGATTTTGAGGAGGAAGATTTGGGCATTCGGATACACGCATGAAAGTGTATCGGTTCTCAGCAACGATCCGAGGTACTTGTGGCTAGGATGAGAGGTTGTGCCGAATGTTGTATGGTCGCTCGCTAGCCGTCTTTTGTGCTATTATCGGCGAGTCGCTTGGAGTTGGATTCGGTGGCATTGTGATTAGCCCCTCTGACAAAAATTTTGCACAATGCATGGAGAGTGGCTACAGGATTGCACAGGAAGATCCTCACTTCCTTTAGACTTGCTTCCGGTGTGAATTCCGGATAAGATCACTACTTCGTTTGCCTGCTGTAGTAGTGCTTTAGTCGGAGAACAGTTTCGCTCTCCGTTTTGAACCGGAGCTCGGTTGGCAGTCTGTTCCGAAGTGAATGTCAGCGTTGCAGTAGTGTAAGTGCCACCTGCCTGGGTTGTAACACCATCTTAGTTATCCTTGGGCCGCACCCTGTATAACTTTCTGATCTTGGTAGCCTAGAGAGAGAAGTAGCACCAACGTCATTCAAGAGCAGAGTCTCACGAATATAGCGCCACTGCTCCTGGTCATGTGCCTTTGCTTCGCATTCATTGTGCTCGGGAGACTGGGAGACACCGTGGACAAAAACGGTTCTGGCTGCGGCGTTTAGCAGGAAATCTTCCAATCTCTGCCTCATTCGCTTGCGCTCGCTCTAGGGAACGTCTGGAAAGACGTGGACCAGACCTATTTCGTTCTGGAAACGAACAGTCGAAAGCAACGCTGCTTCCACCTCATTGACAGAGTTTAGCACAACCCGAAAAAGCCTGGCTTCGCCATAATGCTTAGAATTCGGGTGGTGGGTGATCCTCGTCAATTTGGAGGGTTTAGTCAGAATGCCGAGGAGGTTACATTTGGCATTCCATTGGTTCAGGTCATTCACCAGTTTCCCCTTCAAAGAATTCGATGTTGACTCAGGAACGTTGGTACATATTATAGATAGAGCATCCAATTGTTTCTGAGTGTCTTTCTTCGGGGTGTGGACAG